CAAATGAAGTGGAATCCGGCAAGGGAGGTGAAGGGCAACAAGAAAATCTTTAGCAGAAATATCAACGACGACAGGAAGACTAGGGGAAAACAGGGCTCCACAGCTGAGTGGGGCAGAGGACCCACTGACAGGAGGTAAGGAAAAGGCAGAGGTATTCGCTGCTGCCTTTGCTTCTGTTGTTACCAGCAAGAGCAGCCCTCAGGAATCCCAGGCCTTGGAGCAGAAAATTGCCTCGATTGCCAGGCTCAAAGGGCTGCGACCAGTGGCACAAAGCCCAGCTGGAGACCTGGCCTTACTGGTGTACACCAGGGGTCAACACCCAGGCCACGACACTTCAAAATCTTCCTTAACGAAGGTGGGTGATGGGACAGAGCTCACCCTCAGCACGTCTGCAGATAACACAAAGCCGGGAGAAGCAGCCGATACCCCAGAGGGTTGCGCTGCCATTCACAGGGACATCAAGAGGCAGGAGATGTGGGACAACACAGGAATCACAGGAAGTTTAAAGGGCAAACCACCCCCGGCACCAGCACAGACAGGGGCCAGACAGCTGGAAAGCAGCTTTGCAGAAAAAGCCCTGGGTGTCTTGGTGACCCAGGGGAACGTAAGCCAGCCACACGTGCCCTTGCAGCAAAGTTAGCCAACAGCCCCCAGATCGCCAGCAGGTCACAGAAGCTCAGTGAAGATTGCTGGACTGAAGATCAATAAAACACATTGCAGGTAATGGCTGTGTATCAAATCACTGTTACATTAAGATCATCAAAACTACCAAGTTCCCAAAGTAGTGCTACATTACTGACAGGACAGTCATCTACTTCTGCCATCAACCAGTTTACAACTCATCTGCTTGAGCTCTCCTTTCACCAAACAGTCAGTGTTTCTCAGCCAAGTGGTTTAGCCATGGTGTTTTACCCGACAAGGCTGCATTTGCAGAGCCTGCACTCTGTAAAATGGGTACTCAGCATATTTTAACTAATGCAATCACCTTACTGTGACTTCTAGATTTGTATAATGAAAACTGAACAAACATATTGCTATCTAATGTGTAAAGCCTGTAAAAAGGAAGCAAAATTTTCTGTTGCACAAAGTATTTACAAAAACATACAACTTCAAAAAAGTTTATTTTGCTGCCCAATTTATTAAACACTAAACAAGACAACCTTGTAGTTTATACATTAGGAATGTAAGTTTTTCATGTACAATTAAGAGAACACTTCACTGTAAAAAAGGTGAAATACTGTGTTACTAAACCACGGAACAGAGTCACACAACAAACTGAGAAAGTATGAGAAAGTATGGCACATTCATTTAAACTCAGGCTCTCAGATGAAGACAGACATCAACAGACTGATGCAGCTATTCCACAGACTTTGGTGAATATTAAGAAATGTACACATCTAGTCTTAGAAGTAGAATTATACAAATACAAAAGTCAATATATTTACACACCTATATACAGCATTGTAAGCCTCAAACACTGACAAAAGATATCAGACATAATAACTAAGTTAGAAATGTCTAGAATCCTCATACAAATCAGAAGAGACCTCCTTAGAGAAGCGTGGCTAAAACAGCTATATACTTCTGTACCTGTCGAATCTGTCAGGTATTCAAGGCAATTCAAGGACATTTCACTCCCTTCAGAAAAGTCATTGCAGTTCTACAGCAAGTGGTTAGAGGCCACATGCTTTTTGCACAAATGTTACAGATTCTTACAACAAAAATAATTCATCTCAGCTTCCACAGAGTTTTGAAAGTGTTGCTATTCAAAGCCATCATTAGAAATCATGCCCTGTGATTTAGAACAGTAAGGTCAGTTATAAAAGTCAGCATTAAAACAGCTTCTCTTATTATAATTTGAGATGATTCACTCCTACGTAACATTTTTCCTGCAGAATGTTGCAGCCGTGTATGACGTTTGGAGTGTATTCATCAGAACTACCCACTCCCAGGTAGACTACAATATGGGATGTCTTAATGGGATGTCTTTCCTTACGCTATTAGAAGACCTCTACTTCTTTAACACATGTTTTTCATTCATCAGTCTAAAGTGATCAGATAATGCTCAAAACCCAAGTGCTGAACAATTTTAGAAATATCGTGAAAGAATTAACGTATCTGCTTCCTGCCCTACTTGCCCCCCCTTCCCTCTTCCCCCTCTTCTCAATCCTGCACCATGGATATTTGGACAACAAATAAATCTGCCATCCCTCTCCCCTACCCTGTTTTTTTGTTTGTTTGGTTGGGTTTTTTCCATTTTTAAGAAAAGAAAGAATCGCAACTGAAAGTTTTCATTGCTCGCATCAGGAAAGAAATTCTTTAGACTCGATCAGTATCAGGGCATGATGTCAGTTCACAAAAACATGCTCATTGTGTAAGTTGCCCCAGAGACCAATACATACATCTTTATATAAAGCCACATATGTATAGAAACAACAGCTTTTAGTACCAAGAACCTTCCCTCTTACCATTTTCTTAAAAAAGCAAGCAGCTTTTTGTAATTTCAGTTGTACCAATAGGAGCCTATGTCTTGGGTTCAAGCCAGATCACAGTTAGAATAATTAGCTGGATAAAATAAAAGGATCAACTAATTTTAACACTTTGACTTGTAGCCAACAGTATTGTAAACATTAGGTTACATATCTACATTTTATGGCATTTTAAATCCTTCAAAATTCTAATTACTTATAGCTAAAGTGACTATATCTTCCCAGTATAATAAACATCTTTTATACCAACACACAAAAAAGTCTACTGCAGAGATAACAAACCACCAGGAACTAAATGAAACAAAACCAAACCAGTGGAATTACTTAAAAATTCTAGTCCCTTAGCACTAAGTCACAACTAACACCATCATGACAAACATTTGTCAATTGCAATTTTAGTTATCTATTCTAGTTTATGTTTCAATTTAAATTACTGTAAAGTGTTTCCAAAGTATTCTCAAATGCTAGACTGCCAAGAGCAGATCAGGAGGCAGTTGTAAGTTCTGCAGGTTATTTCTTTCTAACATCTAGGACAAATTTCAAGGAAAGGAAGAGCTCTACACTCAGTATGTGTAGTGCTAGCCAGTATCTGCTATCAGCTGCCTAAAACCCTTCTATTGCTTGTAGTTATGCATGCTCCAGCAGCCACATGTATTAGTCAAGCTGAAACAAATGTGCTGTCTAATGTGTATTGCAGAAAAACCTGTAAAAAAAGAGGCAAAATTTCCTGCTGTACAAAGTATTTACAAAAACATACAACTTCAAAGAACCAGTTTATTTCACTGGTCGAAGTATTACACACTAAGTAGGACAACCTTGTAGTTTATATATTAGGAATGTAAGTTTTCATGTACAATTAAGAGAACACTTCACTGTAAAAAAAGGTGAAATACTGTGTTACTACAATAGACCAGTGTCACACAACAAACTGAAGAATGAGAAAGTGTGGCACATTCATTTAAACTCAGACTCTCAGGTGAAGACAGACATCTATAGACTGATGCAGCTACTCCACAGACTTTGGTGAATATTAAGAAATGTACACATCTAGTCTGCAGTCTTAGAAGCAGAATATACAACTTACTTGTCCCTATCAACTATGACTCCTCATATCTTTTCATTAATTAACCAGCTTATTAATTGCTACAAACCTGGATAACATTAGCTGCTTAAAAGTTACTTGTGCTTCAGTTTAAGTCAAAAAGGGATATCTAAACTTATCTCCAGTCAAATAGGAAAGTCTACCAGAATTTTAGTGTTTGTTTTGTTACAAGGTTCTTGACAATAAGGAATCAGTAGCTGCAGAAATCTGGACAGTTGGGAATGACTACGCCTTAGATCTTCATCCTATTTCCCCATTCATAATAATATATTGTCTGTTTATCAGCTAATCACTGCTACTGGAATGATTTTGTCAGCTATTGCTTCTCCAAATCTCTGCATAAGAAGTTTTAATGTCTATTTTTAATCAAAATCTTAACATTCTAAAAGTTGGTATCAAACAAGGTCACCAAACTAACTGAAGGTTAAAGGTTAGGTAACCTTGAACAGGCTGCTGTTTCAGAATTTCAAACTAGAAAAATAATAGATATAAAAGACTAGGAATTACAGTGCTAGCTATATTTACATTATAATTTCCCTTTGTGCTTGCAAGTTACTGAAAGTACACATCCTTTGGTAGTATTCTCTTAGTCTCAAGTAAGAAGTTCATGTTAAACACATTCACACTCCTGATTTGCTTGAGTCAGTGCAAAGGGCTTATACCTTATTTCCTATATAACATTGTTACATAAGCACATCGCTTCCCCATAAATAATAAAAATACTGATGACAGCGACTTTTCAATGAGTAGCTTTGTGCCTGAGATATAAAAATCTGAAAGAAAGACAGTCTGTCTCTCAATTTGTAAGTCTAAAGAGCGACTACTATAGCAACTGCTAAGAACTCCCATGCACAAGTACTGCTGCTGTATGACTTTTGGTCCAGTTTCAGATGTATAGAAAAACCAAAATGCATCTATAATTCAGACTCTTATAGGCCTGAAGAAGTATGAACATTGCAACGTGTGCTAACTACCATTACAAAAACCATGATAACATCAAACACTGAACTGATGCTTCTAGTTTCAACTTTACGTGTAAGCACAGCTTTCTCATGGCTAACATAAGAGAATGTTTGTTCTTACAATGCTGTTCCAAAATTTCATGCCCATACTACCAGAATTCTCTTAAATAAAACAAGAACTTGCAGCCTAATGCCAAGTGGTAGTGAAAAAGTAGAATCTGGGAAAGAGGCTCTATTTGTTCCCACACTGTGCATTTGTAAAAAGCCACACATCTTAGTCACTGGCTAAACAACCAATCAATGCTTGTTAAATTGCTGAAGCTGTAAACTTCACATGAAGCTGTAAGCAATGAGGTGTATAAATACAGTAAGTCAAAGAGGAACTTTCCAAGCTATTAGAAGTTGATGCAACATAATTACAATTGTTATCTATTCGCTATTACTGTCAAATGTGAACCAAATAAGAATTTATGGGCTTGAGGTTTAAGAAAGTAATGTATAGCATATTAAGGAGCTTAATGTACCAATGTACCAATATTAGCATAAACCCTCACTATTTTATTTTTCATACCTGCCAATTTAATATCAATCTGTTGACAAAGTTATGCTAATACTAGGAGGTCGCTGCTGATTAGGTTGTTTGCTTAAAATCAGAAGATCTGTTCTTTCTGTTCCATATATCAGTTTTTCCTCCTGAAGACTGCAAGCTGAAAACCTGTTTGCCTCTGCACCAGATACGCCACCACGGTTACTTGGAACTGTGACACCACTGACCTGTTCAAAGGATTTACTAAACACAGTAGTGGTTGTTCTGGCCAGACTATGGCTGCCAGGCTTAGGCAGGGACTGGCTAGTTGTCAGTGTCAGTCTCTTCAGAGAGACAAGCTCTAGGTTCTCACTCATGGCTCTCTGAGTTTGTTTTCGTGACAAGTGTTCTCTGCAGGTTTCTCCTTCTTTTTCTTTTCCTCCAGCTTTGCTTCCTCCAGACCTTCGTTGGCTCTTCCCTAAAACGTTCTTACTGCTTATGCTGCTGCTGTTAGATAGGGCAGACTGACTTGTACTGGAAGTAGCCCTACAGTAAAACCCTTCATCAGTTTCAGACACTTCTATCAGTTCTTCTTGAATTGCTACATCAGTATTACCTGCACAGCAGAAAAAGAAATAAAGAATTAGTAATTGACATTCTCACATTTATTGATTTTATGTATTGCTAGATTTTAGTATTTACAAGCATGAAGCCATACAGCAACAGAACAGAGAACAGAAGACAAAACACTTACCTACTCCATTACATTTTGGCATTAAGGTTCATTAGGATATCAAGTTACAGCAAATAATGCTGCATTAACTAGATCAAAAAGCATGCCCACAATCTCACTTTGTAGTGATTTTCAAAAAAAAAAAAAAAAAAAGCAGTCTTGTTAATTCATGCAGGAGATTAGAAATTTATAGATTAGAAGATACCACACAGAATAAAAAAAAAAGTGTAAATCTTATTTTGAGCAAGTGCTCCAATACATGATTTTGCAAAGCTCGTTAATTATAAGGTATGTGATCAATGCCCCAGGACACCCAATATGGCACCTGCACATTTAGCAACCCAAGAATGCTTTAGGACTGAAAGGTCACCTTCTGCATCATAGGTCTGGTGGTATGGGTTGGAAACTCAAGTACAACATGAGATCTCCAGTATACCATGAAAGGTGGAATTTCGTACACAGCAACATACTTTTCACATCCATTCTCATGGATTCTTCATACCATTGATCACTGGATTTTGTAAAACCAATAAATATGCTTAATAAACTCAAAGGTATGTTGAGTCTCACAGTGTATTTTCTCCAGATTAAATAAATCTACCTGTAAGTATGTCATCATTTGTCTGTGGCACAGACGAAGCTGTGTGCAATACATGCATTTGTGTTATTACACATGCAAATATATTAACTGCATACTTTAATTCTCCAAACATGCAGCAGTGACCCTTTCAATCAACAGCGGTACCTTAGAGTGCAGCTACAAGTGCTCTGCTAAAACTGCACTCTGCCAGATGAGTTTACTCCATCCTCCATCATTTTTCTTACAGATTTTTGCCTCCTGATTTCTGGCATGCCTTTGCTGTCAGTTCTAGGATCTGTAGCTGTTTCCTGTACTCCCTGTAAATGCTGAACATCATTCTCTGCTAGTGCTCTGCTCTTTTCCCCATTCCCGGTCCTCTCTCCAGCCACACTTGTGACACTAATCTCAGGTATGATAAAGTTGCCCAATTCAGTAGCATCATTACCATTCTCTGGTTGTTCTAGAATTAAAGATGGATAAGAAAAAAACCAAAAGATGTCTGAAATAAAACATGAAACAAAAGCCAATAGATACAGATGACTAAAGCATTATAAATTAAAGCAGATGGTCACATATTAACCTCTTGTTAATTAGCAACATTAGTAAGTATGGAATTTTGCTTTATTTCTAAATTGCAGGCTTCAATCTTCCAGTTATTGGCCTGAACCCACATACTGGAAAGCCCCATGTCTGATCTTTCAAAATTGAAATTTCTGAGGATCACAAAACAAACATTCAGAGACTATCAGAAATCAAAGAACTTTCCATAATTCACTTTTATGACTATATTGTATCACCATACTAAAGTAAAACTTATTTTTATAATGGAATGGTGTATCAACTTAATGTGTTATCATACAAGACTAGAAATGCTACATATACAACATCATGATACTGCACAGTGGTCAGCCTGAAAACTAATAGTGAAATAACCAAGATAACTCAAGCACACTTTTACTTCCTTTTTCTTTCTTCATTTCAAACAAACAAACAAACAACTATTTTCAACCAGCAAGATAGTTACAAGTAGGAAAATCCTTCAGTTACTAGAATCAACTTATTGAGTTTTATTTTGGTATTTGCCACCTACTAATAATGTAACATAAAGGTTGATCTCCTCAGCCTTTTTAATTTGCTTATATGAGCTTAAAACTAAATTAGTTTGCAATAAACTTATTTGTGTCACACAAGTCAGTTACTAAGTACAGTTGAGAAAACAGGGATTAAGCTGGGGGGAGGGAAAGCACCACAACTTTCTGCAGGAATGGTGGGGGAGAGAAAAAAAAAGAAATTAAGGCAAAACCCAATGCTACTTGGTTCTAAGATTACTTCTTTTCATCTGGGTAAGTCATCAACAGCAGATATACAAGTGCTCAGCCTGGCCAAAAAATTATTTCAAGACAGTCAAAGATTCCTGCAGACGTAGCCAAAAATCCCCAAGCAAACAGAAAACTCCACTGCTACTCAAAGTGTGGAAATGATGGTTGTGTGTAAGCACAAGAGATTTAATACTGATATTTAGTGATAAGAATGCAATAGTTCCTACAAGGTCCAGGTAAAACAAATCCCAACTCAAGAGATGCCTGTCTACATTAGACGAGGACAGGTTTGAGAAGGATGAACACTTGAGAGGAAAAAAGTGAAAATAAAAACAGGAGTTGAAACTTTATGGAAATTCCAAGTATACGCAAGTAACAAGTTACAATCCTAGCAACAAGTCAGCTTCACAATGTTTGAAGTATTCTCAGTATCTCAAGGTCTTTTTAAAAGTATTCAGAATTGCTTTATCAGCACTAGCTCTACAACCACAAAACTGCATTTAGTTGACCTGGAGAAGAAAAAAAGAGAAGCCATCAGTTACAGATAGTCACAGCACGTCCTCCACGAAGATGTCTACCATGGAAATACAAGTGAAGAAGAGCAAGAACTACACTATATGCTACATCGTTATATATTCTATATGCGTTATATATGTATACTATATGCAAACACTATGGCCACAAACTTGACAAGACTAAAAATGGACTAAAAGCACAGCTCAGAATAAAGCTCAGCTGAATCCCTGTGTTTCATTCATAATGCAGCTCTTTCAGACCTGAGGATTAAGTAAGGACCACCCAGACTATACTGCCAGTTTGCTATTGCACGTGACAGAATTTGGCAGCACAGACATTTAACAGACAGTATGAAGTCGAAAACAAGAGGAATTTATGATAAGATGATTTTTCACAGCAGCAGCTCTAATGCTTTTTAGCTGGAGGGGATCTTCTCTTCCCCCTGTCCCCAACACTGAGGACTCTTGTGCAGGCACAGTGTGCTTCTTGGGTCAAGCAAGCTACAGTGCTGAGCTTTTTGCTAGTATTCGTGCTGTCTGCACTTACCATGACAATGAAAGAAGTCTCAGAGCTACAAGGTTATTCTGGTAGGGATAGACAGCATTGTTCCCTGGTATAAGAGCTACCCCTGATTTTACCTGCAAATGCTAAGTATCACGATTCTTTCTAACTAGTCAACTACTAATGAAAGTATCTATTTAACAAGTTGCACTGTCCACAGGAAATGGCATTAATAATTGCTGCTATTAGCCACTAACATCTGATATTTGGCAGGAAACTCAAGTTAGAATTGTTTCCAAGTGTTACTCCTTCTAACAGTACTTTCTGTAAAAGTCTTCTGTTGTCAATAACAGATAACAGTGGAGCACTGTGAACTACAGTAGTAATAATAATAAACAAATAACAATAATACCACCATCAAATATAGCCTTTTGTCTAAAAACACAGAAGCAGAAAGGTTAGTGAGGAGAGATCAATGCTCTGATTGGCCTCATTGCTCTAATTTTACTAGGGTGAGAGAAACAAAGGACACTGCTAAATAGTGTAGAGACAAAACTGAATAATTATGTCAGTTTGAAAGTTAATATAAATATGCCCATAGCAGCTGAAGGAAAACACATTTGGACTCACATTTCTGAATGCTTTGAGTAGTACAACCAACCTTGATAAATGCATTTCATGATTACTAGCTGCTAAGAATTAATTCAAAAGATATTTCAGTCATAGTTTACCTTATTATTACGGTTGCCTACATCATTTACCTCAGATTGCACACGCAAACTGCCCGTTTGGTTTGTAATTCAATTTTAACCACCACAAGCTCAAGCTGCATTTCCTGCACAACAATGTTAGCATTTTGAATTATTCACAAAATTATCAAGCTGGTATCCCAAAATTAACATTCATTCCAGATTCCTAGAAGTTATAACTATTTCTGGAATTAATACTGTTTCCAAAAAAGTAAGAAAATTCTCTCCCCAGAGATTCAAAGACTAACCTTTCTAAACCTTATGTACTACATGAAAGTCAATTTCTGCAATGGGGAAAAAAAAAAAATAACATCTTGTCCTTCTTCTCTAGTTGACTTACCTGTTTTTGTATTATGCATCTTACCAACATCTGCTTAGCTCTTCTTACTCAGCCTGTTACATCAGAGTATTCCTCTTACATTCATTACCTCTATACACAAGAGTTTTTCCCAAGCCACCCTTTTATAGGGCACTTTGGTAGATTTTACATTAGTAGTGAAAGCATTGCTAGGGCTTGTTTTGGGTTGTGTTTTTTTTTTTTCCTAGCTTCCATAAATGTCATTTAGGTGTTTATCTCCCTTATACACTGTGTGATTTTTTTTGTTTTCCTCTATTTGTGAATGGAAATGGAGACACCACTCAAGGCTCGTTTTTAAAACATGAACACTACAAAAAACTAATGCTAGGTAGAGCAGCTAATGCTCCTCTTTTTTAAGCTTTATGATTTATAGGCAATCCAATTCAACAGCACTAAAGAATTTGTTGCTAAGGGGTGGCTAATATCAACTGACTTTGTAAATATTATCCATCTGTGATTAGAAGGATCCATTTTGGATTAGATGGATCCATGGCCTTCACCTTTAGTACCTCTAAAGTACCTACCTTAGAAGTCCAAATTCATGATACTAATTTGATTTTAAAAAAAAGTCCTTCTAAGGAACAGCTCTAATGAATGAGTTACAGGGTTGAGTTATCACAAGATTAAATGTTAAGCTGACCTTTTTTCAAAACTGATTTCAAACTAGAGTTCTAGCAAAGGTTAGCAAGACTTCATGTCTGAAAACTTTTATAGTAAACTGAATTTTTTTAAAAGAGAAAGAATAAAGCCTGTGCTTCTCAGCTAGAAATGCCATTGGCTGTAATTCTTTTATTTTATTTATTTTACACAAATAGCTAGTGATTGAAAATTGCTGCCCTTGCTTCCCTAAGGGATACTTTACTTCATCAGGTCTTCTGGTCCATGAAATGTATAAGATCAAGCTACCTCCCAGCTGTCTCCTCTAGCTTCCTAATCCATTTGTACAACTCATTTTTATTACACTGAAGCACAAAAATAAAACCCCTGAATACATTTTTTCCCCTTGCAGCATGGGAGAGAGAATAATGGTCAGGAGGTATAAGGTTTGTCATCTGATTTCTACCAATTCCAGTATTTATTTCAATTCAAACAAGCATCTGTAAGCACAAGTCTCGTTATTCTTTCTGCATGTTGACCCTGAGGATCAATTCCGTATCTTTCTCTCATCAGGAATTGTGGGTCACTGAATTATGTTACTCAGAATTTTGAAATCAGAAGATGACCTACTCTGACTTTAAAAAGGCTTTTCAAGTCAAACAACAATTTTGTTAGTATTTTATAACGAAAACTTTGAGGAGATTAGCTGAAGTGGTATACGCATGGAACATTTACTATTTAAAACAAAACAATCAGTCAGTCAAAGATACCACAGACTCAGTTTTGGCCTTTAAAAAAGCCTAATGTTTATATAGCCTTCAAATTTACAACTATTCCCACAACTTGTATACAAATTCCCCTCCAACCCTGCCCTACATCAAACGATTTTCTTCCTCTTCATTAAACTCTGTACCATCCAGGCAAACCCAAAGTTTTCCCAATAACCCAAACAAAATGTTGACAAGAGTGTTTTTGCAATAGTCCTTAATCTTTCAATCCTCATCCCTACTACTCCTCACTTGAGTCATACTAACTAGACTATCACTGTTTCTCTCAACGTGTCCTGCTTTGAGACTCCCATAACACACAGCATTCCACCCCATTTCTATGAGTCCTGCTATTATTCTCATTCCCCTTTCACCTTACTGTTATCTGCTGCAGGACACACTTGTCCCACCTATTTTCCCTTGAACTTCACCAAGCATCACCTCCTGCAAGAAGGCAAAAAATTGTAAAAACTTCTAGACTTCTGTATTTGCTGAAAAATTTTCATTCTTTTAAGGATGGTTCCAATATTGATTGTGTAACATTTTTATTTCATTTTTTCCTGTAAATGCAAAGACAAGAGGGATGTTTATTTTAACACACTTTCAATTCCTTTGAATGAACTAGCACTCAGTATCCCTAATCTGTGTTCCCCTCCACCACCTCATTTGAACAAGCATCAGAAGCACTCAAAAGTAATAGCTGACAAAATTGCCAAGCTTCAGAGGGCATCTGTCCATTTAAAAGCTTAGCCGTCATACAGTTTTCTTGTACCTGGTCAATAATCTCTGCTTAACGACTAAGCCTGAAGAAAGGAAAATAAAGACTAAAATGGTCCTTAGCAGTCTTGAAATTTCAGTAATGACTTGCTACTGGACCTCACTCAAGTTAAAGAACTAATGTTTTGCTCCTCAGCTTTTCTGACAGTTTTAAGCAATTTTTAATCAATTGAAAATAAGTTTGGCTATTTTACCTTTCTTTGCCCCTGATCCCCTCTGGCAGTTTACTATTGGTATTACTACCACCGATGCATACAATTACTGCTCAGAAAGCTCGCTCTATCATTATTTTAAAGTCATCTTCGACCAGCATATTTATAAATAATTTTCTCAACACTTACTTGAATTACCTCTTGGTCCTTTACGACAAGTAACTTGGCAATATTTTTCTAACCAAACTGCCCACATACTATGAAAGCTCATACAGTACACAACATACAGAAATTCTTATGATATTACTTCAAAATCTTTATTGAACTTATTAAAAGAGCATTCTTATCTACACTCACTCACTTATCCTGTCATCAGAATTACAATCCCAGCAGAACAAGCCATTGCCAATTTTGTTTGCTGGTCCAGCAGCTCTTCCCTCATCTGAAGATGGTAGAAAAAGTAGAATGTAACATTTCTCCTTTTGCAGTACATTCAGCACCATTTTTTCTACTTCTCAGCTCAGACCTGTGTTCTGCTTTGTGGAAGCCCTTATATTAGTTTGTCCAAATGTGCTGGTTTTGGCTGGGGTAGACTTCTCTTCATAGTAGCTAGTATAGGGTTATGTTTCAGATTTGTGCTGAAATCAGTGTTGATAACACAGGGACGTTTCAGTTACTGATGAGCAGGGCTTACAGAGTCAAGGCCTTTTCCGCTTCTCACCCCACCCCACCAGCAAGGAGGCTGGGGGTGCACAAGAAGTTGGGAGGGGACACAGCCGGGATAGCTGACCCCACTGACCAGAGCGATATCCCATACTATACGATGTCATACTCAGTACATAAAGCTGAGGGAAGGAAGAAGAAGGGGAGACATTCAGAGTGATGACATTTGTCTTCACAAGTAACCATTACGCATGATGAATCCCCGCTTTCCTGGAAATGGCTGAACACCTGCCTGCCGATGGAAAGTGGTGAATGAATTCCTTGTTTTGCTTTGCTTGTGTGAGTGGCTTTTGCTTTATCTAATTAACCGTCTTTATCTCAATCCATGAGTTTTCTCACTTTTACCCTTCTAATTCTCTCCCCCATCCCACTGTGTGGGAGTGAGTAAACAGCTGTGTGGGGCTTAGTTGCTGGCCAGGGTTAAACCACAATATGAAAACATAATAATTTATCCCTCTATCCTTAAATCTGATTTTTATTTAAGTAATTTAAGATGGATGAGGTTCTGGGGTAAAGTTGTTAAATAATTGCTTTGCTTCAGGTACTATAAACTACTTTTCAGAAGAAAATAGGAACATTGGCCTCTTTAAAGAATCAATAACTTTGTACAGCTCCCTTTAGCAAAATTTTCTTTGTGTTGTGTTTTTTTTTTGTTTAATCATATTTAAGGAAATAAAGAATATATTTAATCTGAACTGCATCAAGATTCCCATTCACCAGTCAAGAAAATAAAAGCCTCCAAACTGCTGCTTGCTTACTAGGAATGAAGATGTACAATAACAAAATCCTCAGTATTATTTTAAACATGTAAAAAGTTGAAAATTTAATGCAAAATGTGTTTCTTACCATGCCTTTTCCATCTATGCCCTCGGATAGACATGCTAGTCACAGCATTTCTTGATATTCTGGATGAAGTAGGTGTAATTTCAACCTGAATGCATCTGGTACCTTCTTTACTAGATTTCATGGCACCCTGAGGCAGTGAAGCTTTTATTGCATTAGCAACCTAGAACAGAAAAGATGCAGTTAAGTTCTTAACATGAAGATCCAAATTTTAGAAGAATTCTATCAGGGGATTCTTATTACTCCAAGAAGAATACCGTGTACAATTCCAGTTTAAGGTCAAAAAGCACACTAGAACGAGGGTTGCAATTACCTCTCAGAACCATACTTGCCACTTTTTAAAACAAAGTTTCCAGTTTAAAGATGTGCCTATTACTTCAGAGTCCTTCTGCACTATTATCTAAGCTTTCAAGACTTAGAAGTGTTCTATTGAAAATAGCTTGTTCACCAGGGAAGATAACAAAATAACTAAATACATTGAAAATACCTGTGCATGTATGTGTATGTATACTTACAGATCTAGCTATTCACATGAGCACAGTCACGTAGACCTCACGGGATTTAGGTTCCTGGTGCGATGCTGCATTATGCGTTTTCACAGGAAGGACTTCCTAGACTGAAAATTCTACCAAAAGAAAATATTGCAATACAATACCTACCAGTAGAGGTTCTGGATACAGTTCCAGCTGTGCTCTATATAAAATGTCATCCATAGCTTTACGAGCCAGATCCCATTCTCCATTATAACTACAAAGGTAAATATATACATAATGATAAGCATCTATATCAACAGATAAATCCTCTTGGTCACATAACCTTCACAGATTTAGTGTTCCTCGAGAGCTCAGTTTAGAGGAGCTGAACTACTTTGTTCATTACCAGTAAGTAAGCCTGCTATTTAGAGAACTTGTTCTGAAGTAGCATCTATAGAGACAACGTTTTATTTTCATTGGCCACCCTGAGCAGTTTAAAATTTATATAATTAGTTATTGATCAGCTAGTCATGAAATATTCTGAAATTCAAACCGGATTGTTTTAATATTACTCCACCTTTTGAGTATTCCTGTGTTACTCATCTCTAATTATTTCAGTTAATAAGAGTGCTTCACACATGAATATGACTATCAAAGGGTAGATGACATCAGCATTTCAGGAGAAAAATTGTTAAGAACTTGTTTTCCTTAGCTAGACTGATGTCAAAACTAAGCATGCAAAAATGCGGACAGCAACAACGGTTGGAAAAGTGGGGTTTTTTAATTTATTTTTTTTTTTTTCACATCAGCAGTTATACCTATTGAGTGTTGTTCTAGCCCTCTTTCTCCAATATGACATATGTATCTTCAGCCAACTAGTTGGAGAACTATGTTCTCTTCCTGAGGACCTTATTGCTAGACACAGCATCTGTCCACTAGAAAATTAAACATTTCAAAGGTAGTATGCCTAAACAAGTGTAGAAATTAAGCTGAATTTTTTTTCTTTTGTATGCATATTAAAAAAGCCAAACACAACTTACAAGGCATAATAAATCCCTGTTAGCATTTGCACCATGAATTCAGATGAAACTGGAATCCTACTGTTGACTCCCTTGTACTTTCTCACTTGCTGGCGAGGATATCCACAGACACAAATTCTAAAGAAATCACGCATTTGTCATTAGCAAATAACGTAGAACCACCTTTCTATAGAACACTACAAAGCTAGGTGTTTAGTATGCATTTTAATTACAATAGACCCACAGGAAGGTATCAATCAATAACTGTGCTGAAGTAGACGATTTCTTATTACGGAAGAAGGGTATGCCTTCTACCAGCAGAGTTCAAATCCTTCAAACTAGAGACATCCTAGACACTCCTGTTACATTTATACTAGAGAGGTACATGAAAGAAAACTGTCAGTAAAAGTCATTCTGAATACAGGCATTTGCTGCAGGACAGAAAAAAAAAAGTTAATGGTATTTAAGGAAATAAAGTAGCATAGCAACTATTAATATTACAGACAGAAACATAAGCATCATTGCAGATAATATGGAAGTTGCACACATGTTTTCAAGCAAAGAGACCAGAAGTGTCAAGTTCATAACATTATTCTAAAATCCAGTAAAAGTCAGCTTTAGAATTTAGTTCTGAACTAAATTCCACATCTATAGTCAAAACATTTTGGAAATCAAAGATATTGAGTAGTGTCACCGTTTAAGGCTGGCCCGGCACTTAAAAGGGGTGGCAGATACTCTCTGTTAACGTCTCCCTCCCGCCTGGGAGGGGAAGGAACAGAGAAAAGGGAGAGACACTTATGGATTGGAAATTAAAACTATTATAATAAAACAACAGTAATGGAAAAATAGTATAATGTATTAATACTACTACTACTA